TAGAAAGTGGGCACAATATTTTCCCCATTTTTTGTTCATTTTCCCCGGCACCATTGGGTTAAGAACATTCTACTTATGAACATTCCATACATACAAACAAAATTTTTTAAATACTAATGTCCAAAAAATTGTTTGAAAGATGCTAGCAAACTTCAAATTTCCTTATGTGATAAATAAACCTTTTATGATTTTATTCCTTATTTTTTTTATTTTTTTTATTTTTTTATAGAAAGTTTGTGTAATACATGAAATTAGAACAGAAGCACCAGGCTGTATATTGAAGGGTATGAAAAGTAATTTGCATAACATCCAGAAGCCTCAGAGAAGCAACTTGTCGAATATCTGGAAGGAACAGCATTAGTTTGGCACTGATTGCCAATATTGGTAGGGGAGTTAAGGTAAGTAAATTGACATTTTGCATTTTCATTCTTATCAAAATTCTTCAGAAGAGCATCATGGAAGCAACCAATGTACATATTAGATAATATTTCACAGAGTCATAGCTATATGTTTTAATCCTGAACTTGGTCCCATATTTTCCAGCTGATTGACCAACAGCATGGGGCCATTGCAGCTGACAGACCTGCCATGGGAAGACATTATATACTGCTACATATTTCCCCACTTGTCTGCAGCAGACTTATGGCGGTTTCGTGGAGTCTGCAAGAAATTTGAAGCCTTGTTCTGTGCCTATATGCAGGCTTGCGAGAAACTTGATTTGACTACATCAAAAATGACGGATGAAGTCTTTCAGAAGGTATAATGCAACAATTTTTTCTTTTCTTTTCTTTTCTTTTTCTTTTTTTTCTTCTTTCTTTCTTTCTTTCTGGAAGAGACCAAGAACAGTCAAGAATAAAGATTTCTCCTCGATTTCTTGTATAGAATTTGATACATATTAGGGGCATAAGAAGATTTGTAACATCATACTTGAGCCTCCAGATCAGAAGTAATTTACTTCCTCCAAAAGAGAAGGACATAATATATGCATGCCATTGTAATTTACAAATACTGTAGATGTTATATTATCACTTGAATTTCTGGAGCATAAGATAATATTAAGTACTGTCATGGTTTGTTTAGAATTATGAAATAAAAAAACAAGAATCAAATATCTAAAAGTGTTGTTTATCTTATGCTTATATGATGACAGAAATATTAGTAATACTAACATTACTAATAGCAATACCAGAAAAAGAGAATATTTCCAAAAGGGTAAAGGGTAAACAGGTGAGATAGGCAGTATCCTTGGTGACTAAGCACTTGTGGATCCATCTATGTGTAAAAGCAATTGATAAACTAAACTGATAGTGGGCATGACAAGAACATACATGCCATCACTGGCGCCATTGGGTCCAGGGATTATTGTAACCCCCAATATCACTTAGACATCCATTAAAGAACTCAGCCAAAACGATTTTGAATTCCCTGCAGATGACCAAGGATTGTGCGAACCTGCAGTGGTTATCCATGGCCCAGTGCTCATGGGTGAATGACGCATCACTTATGAAGATATTCAGAACGAACCCTCGTCTCAGATATGTTAATCTGAGTGGTTGTAGTTCCCTCTCTGGGGCTTCCTTGCAGGTGTGTGTCATTAAAGAACATTTTCTGTACTTTGTTATTTTATCTGATTCCATTCTTTTCATTTTTTTTTTTTTTTTTTTTTCTCTTTTTTTTTCATTTTCCATCTTCCCCCTTATCCTACTGTTTGTTAGTCCCTTTCATTCTGTTGTTTTTACTTAGGATTAGTAAAATATTTAAGTTTACTCATTTTTGTTCTTTTTTTTTCTTTCTTTCTTTCATTTTTCCTCCCTTCCTTCCTTTTTTATTTAGCATTATTATTATTTTTTTTTACTTTAGCACCCCTCCTTCACAAAGACAAACAAAGGCAGATATTTAGAAGACAGATTTATCTGACTTTTCAAGATCTTTATTGAACCTTTTCCTAATGCAGGTACTTGTTGTGAACTGCAAGAAACTTCATACTTTACTCCTTGCAAACTGTCCATGGTTGACTCAAGGAGGCTGGGAAGTAACAGTATTCCATCAGGTAATGTGCAGAATTATAGTCTTTCTGTTGATGGATGACACTAGATTTTTTTGTATAATCAGAAAAGCATTTTTGCTACAAATTTTGTGCATAACTCTCTGTAGCAATGATCATGAAAGGAAGATAGCTTATAATTCTTATTTTCATGCATTGCCAAACAGTCCAACCTGCGGTGCTTTAATGCATCGGGTTGCTGGGATGTAAATGACCAGGTCTTCCAGAAGTTCTTTGCCAAATTCACAGACCTGCATGAGCTACACTTGGCTCGTGTAGAACCTGTGACAGACGAGACACTTTGCTTCCTGGCACATGCATGCCCTGCTCTGAACTCTCTCAACATAGCAGGATGTTGGAGGGTAACTGATGAAGGAATAAGTAGGGTAAGTCACACAAGAGGAGCTGTTGAATATATTATTTCCTTCAGTGTTGTTCACCTTTTTATGAGTGTAGTGTTTCATGTTTACTTGCCTGACTGGATTTCAGTAATAATTGAATCCATTAGTTTTAAACAATATTATAAGGATTTAATTTATATGCTTGTGATATCCTCTGAGAAGGTAGCATGCACTTGTTATCTCAACTCTTGCCACAGGAATATAAGCCATTAGTTTGGAGGGTGTTGTGGCTAAAGCTTAGTATTGCATACAGTCATTCTAGATACTTGGTAAGGGCAAGTGCATATAAGTATGGAGGTTCTTTACAAATTCAGTTTCTCGCAGTAGCAAAGCAACTGATGTGTTGTTTACATTGACCAGAAAAAAGTGTTGTCTTTATGTGGAGAGGATCCCTGTTGCTTTTAAATGTCTTCATTGGTTATTTATCTGGAATGACCTATCATCATTTTCTCTTTTTCTATTTTTAAAGTAGAGTATATTGCAACAGAATGAAGCTACAGCAGTAGGATGGTTTTGTTAGATGTATTTATGCTCATGTGTGTTATTTTTATTATGGTTGATAAAGAGATTTTCTCTTCTTTTTTGATAAGGAATGTGGTAAGTAACATTACTGGCAGACAAAAAGATTCTGGTTTCTATTTTCTAGGTTCTCTCCTCATTTTCTTTTGAGTATTAATAATTTTTTTCTTTTCAGGTGGTTGAATACTGTCGTAATCTGCGCGTGCTCAATGTAAAGGATTGTCGTGATGTAACAGAACAGTACCTTTGTAAGCTCTTTGTTCGGGGAATTTGGGTTATCTCTGATTATTCCCTTGCTCAGATGGTCAGCAGAAGAAAACGAGTCAACAATCTTGGCCTCAACATACAAATATAATTTGTGTGAATGAAGTGGTTGTAAATATGCTTGCATATTTAAGGTGTATACTGTATATGTTTTATATACAAATTATAAAGAGACAAGTAGATGGAGTGGGATGGAGATATAACCCAACAGTCACATTTTATACTCAAAAAGAGATTTTCTATAGTTATGTGTGACTGCTTTGGCTTTTGTAACAGGAAGTTTATTAGTGCAGGTATATTATATTGTTTTCCCTTAGGTTGGCCTTCCAACTGTGAAAGCTTATAGAACCTCTTCTTCTTCTTTTGCTAAGTCAGTTACTGACAGTAAATTCACTCAGTGTACTACATTCTCCACAGGAATGTGCTCAAGATTTTTTTTCATTTTTATTACTAATATTAGGGAAAAATGAAATGTAAAATCTCCTAAAATTATAAAAGAGATCAGTTAGGTTCTGTGATGATTAGGTACTCATAGAGCCAGCTTTGTGTAAACAAAATTGATGAAGTAAAATCACAGTGGACTGGACATTTATGTAAGTGCCCTTATGCCATTAATGGGTTCATTTGTGGTAACTTGAAAATCATAACAGTTCATTTTCATCAGCTTAGTAGTTTGGTGAAAAATTTGATTGGTAAATCTCATCCTATGCAACTGATATTAATGCTCTCCATTTCTGGCATATTACTTATTATTATAGTTATCATATAAGGGGTCGTTCACAATTGTCAACATTTTCACGAGCGTACAAAACGTACACTTTTTCAGGACCCCCTCCCCCCCTCCCAAAAGTGTACAAAATAAAATGTTGATTTCTCAGAAGAACTATATTCAAGAAATAATACACTCTACAGTACAAATAATATCGCCAAGCAACTAGTTAAAAAAAAGCCAAAGTAAAACGTGGTAAAACTTGAGCAAAAAAGCCAAAATCCACCAAATTGAGAAATAAAAGAAATCGACATTTTTATGTTTTCAAAAAGCGTACGCGGACCTCAGACCCGCTCCCCCCTAGCGTACGGTTTGTACGCCCATGAAAATGTTGACAATTGTGAACGACCCCTAACAGATTATTTATGCATTGTTCATACTCTTCATACAGTGCTAAGTTTTTAGTGATGGTTTACAAAATTTTATTACTTCCTTTAGTACAAAACCAGAGAATGAATGGTATGTTTTCCTTTCTCTTACTTTTTTTCCTAGTTTTATCTTTTTTCCTTTGTCTTTGTTTTTTACTCTGAAGTATATTATTCCTGCAAATATAGTGTAATCTATCAAGTTGTACAAATGACATTCATATTTTATAGATGGGGTTTAGTAGATAATGTTTTAGTACAACACTGCTCCTCAGAATCAGGTTATCATACTCATACTCTTGCAGTACATTTATTTACTCAGTATTAGTCCAAATAATTTTCAAATTTAACCTTTTAAGTGACCATCTTTTTGTACTTTATGTATACAAGTTTAGTCATTTATTTCTTCTAACAATGTTTGTACAGTTCTCAATATAGGCCTCTTTTTCTTAATTGTTAGTCTGAAGTTTTGATTATTGCTTTTGTTATACATTCCTCTTATTTAAAATCTTCTTCCTTTTTCTTTTTTTTTCTTTCATGCATTATTTTTATTCCGTGAAATATCAATATGAAGATTTATGTACACTGTGATCAGTACCCACAGGCTTTGTCAAGGGAAAATGTATTGAGCTCCTTTT